TTATCTTCAATAAAAAAATTCATATATTTTTGTATACCTATCAAAATCAGTATTCGTTTGTTTTAAATGAAATTATACTGACATAAGAATTCGATGGTGTAAAAATTAACCTCTATTTATTTCTGTATAACCTATGATGATTTTCTAAACTTACTGTTCAAAACACAAATCTGGACATATTTCACTAACTTATATTTTCATCTTATTCACTAATTCTATAAGCATATTAATTGAACATATATGTATGAATCACAATTCACATAATAGTTAGAAGTTACTTCTTACCATAGTAATTTTGTCACTAGCTCATCGCAAGCCAATGTTTGCTCGATAACACAAATACGAATTAAATATGCACTGACCTGGAGTCCTTAGTTTGTAAACCTTCCTAGCACTTCATACTACGTCCTTAAGCTTCTCCTTAGCTTTAACATAGCTTGATCTTGATTTCAATCATAATTTAAATGAACACCATTTACAAAACATATATATTTCAAACCATATGTTAGAATCTTACTAACATAGGCACACAATATAAAATAAATTCCCAAAAACCTTTCGATGCTCATTTGATACAAATTTTATATCACATCATCAATGTTGACCTTAATACTTCAAATTGACCAAATAAATCCCTTTTAATCCAAATTCACCCAAACTTCACATAACATTTTTCAACTTTCCATTTTAACTACCATTTATGAATTCTTTTAGAATTCATATCAACTTTCCCTTTTATTCCAAATAGTCCTTTTCCTTTTAGCTTCAATTCAAGTTTCAAGTAACTTAATTAAATTTACAGCATCTAATTTTCAACCCAATACCTCAACAACTCCACTATTACCACTTAAGTCACTAACTTTCTCAATATTTGCCATTTAGTATTCAAACTTTGCCAACTTCTTAAAATAGTTAAATTTCACATTCTAACATCAAATTCAATATTCTAACTTTCAATTCTAGCATAGTACATCATCTTTCTAACATTTTTACATAAACCCCATAATTTCCCATAATTGCTAAATAGGTCCCCAACTATCATAAAATTATAAAATGGCCCAAATAACTTTCTAAAGCTTGTAGAACCTTTCAAACATCATTTCTAAGCCTAGGGAGATTTTTCACAAAATTTTCCCAATTAATTCCTTAGTGTCGAATATCATAGTGGTTAGAGTTCTTGATTTACACTTGATTCAAACATGGATTCCACCTATAAACAACATTTCAAGGCTTCTATTCAAAGCCCTAACATAATTTAACCAAATCATAATTTTCTCAAAACCCTAGGTCATGGCCAAATGAAATTTCACCCAATTTCACGTAGTTTTAATCATCGTACAAACTTTAGAATTAATCTCCAACATCAAGAACATAAAAATCTTTCATCAAATCCTCAAAATCAACAAATCATACATAAACCCTAATTTTTAAACTCATCATCTAAGCATGATCTCCCAGTAATATTTACACCAAATGATAGAGAATTTCAAGGTGATTAATTCTCTATCTAATAGCTTAATCCAAAAATCAATTGAATAAGCTTAAAAAAATTCTTACCTTTGTAGCTATGGTGGTGCGTGTTTTTGAGTCCGAAAGAAACTGAAAATTTCTTATTTTTCTTCAATTAAAACATAATACACTTGGCTTAATATAATATATAAATGAATTTAAAATTCATTTAATGTGAAATTATCATTTTACCCTTAATGAAACATGATAATTTTAACTTGTCATTGCATTATCATCCCTTTTAATATTCCAAAGTCAAATATGAACAAATAAAAATCCACTTTCCACCTTTTCCCTTGCAAATTTTCAAAAACTACAATTTAATCACCAAATTTTCCAATTCCAGCTAAATATGTAAAATTGACTTCAATTCCACTGATCCACATTAAATTTGATTGTTCTAAAATTTGGAAATAATATTTACAACCTTTATTTATCATCCTTCAAATTTTCGTAAAATTTTGTTTCGATCCAATTATTCGATTTTCTTTCGGACTTTACTGCTTTAGGACTTTTAACATAAATTTCGGATCAAAATTTTGATTCATACGAAAATGTCATGCTTGGGGTTGAACTATTCATTTATGGGGTCAAAATACCTAACTTTTTTAAAAAAAATTACCCTTTTGGTCCCTAAACTTTTTCAGCTTTCTACTTTGGCACTAAACTTTTAAAATTTATGTTTTGGTCACTAACCAAAATTTGGGGTATTACAGACCCAACGACCCAAACTAAAAAAACTGGGTAATTATCTTTAAAAAAAATTACCCGACCCGACATTTCCCAAGTCGGGCCTGGGTCACAAAATTACATTTTCCGGGTACCCGATTACATTTATGTATATATATAATAATAATACATATTTAATTATTAATAATTTATATATTAAATTAAATTAATAAAACTAAAAAAACCCACTCAATGTATATTTAATAATTAATATAATATTTTGTTTAATAATATAAGTTGATTTTTTTAATTAATAATTTAAAAATGATAAAAAAAAACCATGTACCAGATTACCCGAATTACGGCTACCCACAAAATTCGGGTATCCGACATCTGTGTTGGGACACGGGGCGACCAATCAACTACCCGAAGACCCGTGTACCCGGATTTGAACACCCCTAGTTAAATCTAAGCTTCGAAGTTTTGACTAAGTTTCAAAAGTCAAATGCGTCATCAGTATAACCCGAGCCATTTATGAGTCATTAAATCAAATTAAAAACCAGTTTTGTAAGGTTTACTCGGTTAAATTATCAGTGGAAATTATTTTTCTTTTATTGTCATTCATAAATAAAAGTATTGGCCAAGTCTTCAGTTCAACTCAAGCTAGGAAAAAACATGAGCTAAGCGCAAAAGGGCCCTTTTATAATTTTGTCTAAAATTAGTATTTTGCGTAAAAATAGTTGTTTGTAGTATTTTTAGGATTAAATAAATCATTTTTCCTTAAATTATACATTTTGTATCGAGTTGTCCTCTATAGTTTCGAAGTGTATCTTGTAAATGAAAAAAAAAGGTGATTAATCAATATCATTTTTGATCGACCTCCAAATGTCAACGCTCTCATGAAGCAATCAATGATCTCATGTGAAAAATAATAATTTGTAAAGATTAGTGTGACCTCTTAGTGTACAAGCAACCAACATACACATCTATTCAAAATTATCATACATCATATATCATGCCCATCATGCTTAATATAGTTCAATTAGAATATATTAATCTCATGTTATAAATTTAAGACTAAAATACCATAGAACACTTAATAAATGAACTAGAACTGTAGTTCTAACATTGAGCCAAAACTCTGACGTTAAACTGAAGGTCGGATGGTGGTCAAATAAACCTTTTCCTAATGTGAATGAACACTAATGGTAACATGAAGCTCTACAACAGTAGGATGAATTGTTGCCTACATTGACCGGATGAATCGTTGCTTGTAGTGATTGAATGAACTATTGCCTTAATGGATATACCATCAATAATGCCCGCCAGTCTTAATGATTTCCAATGACATGTCAATATTATTGAATGACCTTCTACGCATACAAGGTTTAACTTTATTCATACCAACTTGAATTTATGAGTCAACGCATAAGAATTGACCCGAAAAGTTAGACAAAAAATGAGTTTAATTAGATGAATTTACGGAATAGTCATAATAAGAGGATGTTCGTGTTAAAATACAATGAGGAGGACCATATGAGTAAATATCCCATACATGAAAATAAGGCTTATTTCTCATTGGTTTTGCTCACGTCACATGGGAGAAGAAGGGTAAAAAGCTTAATGCTATTTTAACCCCTCTTATTCACCTTCTCCTTCTCCTCTTCTCCTCCATTCATAAGTCAAAGCTTCATAAAGATGAAAGCTTGATCATTTTATTAAGGATTTAGAGCTAAGGAAGGTAAGTTTTAGCTCCAGAATTCATAAACTTTCAATTTAAGCTCCACATCTTTCATGGATGATAATGTAGAAAAAGTTTGTGGGTTTAAGGAGGGTTGTGAGCATTTGATTGTTGTGAGCTTCATTGACAACATTAATAAGCTCTAAATTCGTTCTTATTCTTTCCAACAAATTTGTGTTAAATTAGAAATCTTCTATCTAGTTTGTTTGGTTTGAGATAGAGGTGTCAGAACCCTCTAACACTAAAGGAAATGACAAACTTGGTGGAAGCCGAGTAAGGAGTTTTCAAGCGGTCTTTGAGCCAAGATTTGAAATGCTTCTTGAGTTTCATAATTGTGATGTCTTGCTTGTTGGTGTATAAATGTTGAGTGGTTGAGTGCCAAACTTGTTTGTTTTTTTCAATTTGATTCAACTTAGTTTCATAATTGTGTTTTTTGAGTAAGACGTTAACATGAGTGTTTATAGGGTTTTGAGAGTGATTTCTGAGCTTAAAATGGTAATTTTTTGACTTTGACATCGGTATTATTCTTTAGGTATTAATATCATCTAAAAGCATAGTTAAAATCTAACTTAGTTGTTTAGGGAGTATCAATACTCATACTTGAGGTATTGATATTGAACATTCAATATTAATAATAGTGTAATAAATGATATTTATAATCCATTGTACATTACTATTAACAAAGAAGTCGCTTCAATATAAAATGTGATAGCTAGATTAATGGAAGAACCTAGCTAAAAATGATACTTTAAGTTTTTTGAAAGAAAGAAAATGGCACTTTCATTCGGAGATCCAATCAAAATATTTTGAAGTTTAAGGATCAATTTAAAATTTAATCTATAATTAAATGGAATTTGGTAGAATTAACCCTAAAAGAATAACCATAAATGAATAAAACAATTTGATAATGGGTATAACTCCGTAAATCCATGGGCCTTTGTCCCAAGATCCAAATACAATAAAGGAACTAGGAGGGTAAATATGTAATTCTGAAAAAAAAGGAAAAAAAAATCCCGCACCTACGATTTAAAAGGAATGTGTTTGGGAATAGCCCCATTTTATGCACTTTGTTTTTCCAGACTTTCCTGCATCTGTGTATTTTTCGTTACTTTTTTTTCTTTATTAAAGTAGTTTCTTCTACGAGCCACTCTTTCCATGTAGCTGACCTCTAAGCTCTTTGATCTTGGATCAGGTAATTTCTCTTTTTTCTGTATTTGACCATTTCTCTTCGTCTAGGGTTGCTTCTTTTTGTTCGCCGCTAAACTAGTTTTTCCGTGAAAATACGAACATTTTCTCGAGAAACAAACAAATTTTTATCTAACTCGCATTGCTGTGTCCGATAGGATAGTTGGGGAGCTTAATTTGCTAATTTTGAGCTTTAGATATTCTTCCTTGAGAAATGTGTTACTGAACTATGAAATCTTAAGTAACCGGTTTTTATCAGTGTTTCTTTTTGTTTTAGTTATGAATACATTGGGATTGGAAATTTGATAAGTACGAGGAGTTAGATTACCGTTGGAAATTACTCTTGTTAGGGCAAAATTGGTTTGAAAACGCAGCGACTAAATCTGATAGTTTGGGACTGATAATTTTTACTTGATTATTGCCTATTAATTTTGTAGATCATAGGAGGAGATGGCGTCTTCTTCAAATAATGTGGAGTTGGAGGCAGCGAAGTTCCTTCATAAACTCATACAAGACTCTAAAGATGAACCTTCAAAGCTGGCAACAAAACTTTATGTGGTATGGGTGCTTTTTTTTGGTTAATTAAGTGATCTTTATTGTGCACGAGCAGTGTTGAAAAGGGCTAAAGGCACACTAAGGCAATAGGGGTTTTATAGCGTAAGGCGCACTTATTGAAGTGAGGCACACTTTTTGAAAATAAAAAATATACAAGTTTTTTCCAGTTGTATAATCAAACAAAAAGAACAGTTCATGCAATATAAACACCAAAGAGTATTTATTATCAGCATTTATGTATTAAATCACTTTTGTTCCATCCACCATTGAACCTTGAGAACCCAAGGAAACCCCACTTTCCTTCCTTGGTCCAAAATTCCATATAAGAAACTGAAACAATAAATAAAAGTCTAATAATGAGTTGGCATCAGCTTCTTATTTGTCTCTTTTTGTCCCTCCACCTCGCACATCTAAACAAACGTGTCTTCCTCCTTGTTAACACCACCTACACCCTAAACCCCACTTCTCCAAATCCACCCTAATCTTTCGTTTTCGTATTTCTAAATTGTGTTTCCAAGCTTTTCTTTCTCACGGATTCAAATTTTTGCTGTGTGCTAAACGTGCTGCTCAAGAACCCATTACTATGCAACAAAACTCACTGACACCTATCTTTTCCTCCCCCAATTCTCAATTCGTGCATGCATGTTTCTCACTCATTTTGTCTGTGCTTAGTTGGTTGTCTTTTTTAACACCAAAAATGGCCTCTATTCATCCCCCTTTGTCTCTCTCTCTCTTTCAAACTTCAAGACAAATAGTAATTATATAAGGTAAAGCACCCCCCTTTATCTATATTTGACGCCAAATTTTAACATAAAACTCTCTTTTCTAATCACCCCCACCATGTTCTACTCTTTTCTCCACTGACATTTCATTTTCTCTCCTTTTTGTTGTTGATATACAAGTTAGAATGTGAAACATAATTAAAAAAAATAAAAAAGACAAAAAGAACAATTTTTTTTTGAAAAGGCGGCGCCTAGTGCGCTTCGTTGAAATCGCCTCGCCTAGACCTAATTAGGCGCTTCACCCTTGCCTCGCCTTAGCGCCTATGCGCGCCTCAGTTGTGCCAGTTTATACACTGTGCATGAGTTACAGAGTTGGCTCTTAATTTTAATAGCATTTATACCGCCGCTGATTTTTATTATCTGTGAATGTTTCAGATATTGCAACACATGAAATCTAGTGGGAAGGAACATTCAATGCCGTTCCAAGTAATATCAAGGTGAAATATGGTTTGAGATTCTTTAAGTTTTATGAATGACCACTGGATATTGTAAACTAGTGAGAGAAGTGTTGATGTTATTTTCATCTGGACGGACATGGTGATTTAGAAAATTGAGTTAATTCAGATAATGGGGGATCTAATGACTAAATTTGTTTGATTGCGCATTGTTTGATTTACTATAATTTGACACTTGAATTCTTTGTTTTTATTGCCTTTAAATGGATGCAAGAACCTTCATTTTCTTTTTATAGACAATGAAATTACAAGTGGAACTATTTTAGTCTGTATTCAGGTTGTCTTGCAATTGTTGAAACACCTTTGACTAAGAGTGTATTCCCTTCTGCTATCAGAGCATTAATTGTCCCACCATGAATGAATATGGTTGGACATAAGTTAAATAGATCTCAGTAACTTGGTGTTTTACTTTGGCCCATCCTCTTTTTCCCCAAGCAAGCTGTTCTTACCTTTTTCCTTCTGTGTGGAGCTATGCATAACATTGTACTAAGCAACACATGGTTGAATTGAGGTAAAAAAATTGTGTTTAAAGTAGCTTGTTCGCTTATGTGGCTGTTGCTGTTCAGATTTATATATTTGACTTCAGGATTATATGGTTAAATTTTCTAGTTTGAATTAAAGTGTACTCTCACCTAAAATTCAAATTGCATCTAACGTGTCCTTATTCTCCAGTTTCTCCCCTCTTTTACACTATGTACTTGGATATATCTACCTTTTGCATTTATCTTTTGGCTTATCTAACCGTTAGTTAACTTTCCTTTTTGGTATCTCAGTGATCGCAATGATGTTTAGAACTTAACGTCCAAAGATATAGATCTATGTTAAAGTCAAATTTTCATTGATGTTGTTAACCCTTTCTCCAGATATGTCTACTATTTACCTGACATAATTTCTTTATTCAAGGGCTATGGAGACTGTTATTAATCGACATGGTCTTGATCTGGAGGCTTTGAAATCATCCCGGCTTCCTACTGCTGGGTCTCAAGCAATGGATTCTACATCTGGACAATATGTTGGTAAATTGCTGTTAATCAAACTTCCTTTAGCTTATGGAAAATTATCACATATGTGTCCTCGTTGTTTCATGGCATAGTGACTGAACCATTTATAAATGGGATTCTTTTCTCCAGGATCTTCTCAGGCTGTTGCAGTTTCAAAAGACTCTAAAGCAGGTTTGGCGCAAAATGAGATACCTAAGTTTGATCCATTTTCATCCAGCAGGCCGCCCGTTGGCCCAAGCATTGCTGGACAGGAGTATTATCAAGAAGTTGGAACACACAGGGGTAGTCAGTCTTTTGATCATGGAAGCCCATCAAGTTTGGACACGCGGTCGGCTAACTCCCAATCACAAGACAAACAAAAGGGTGCAACAACTAAACGAAAGAGGGCTGAGTCATCAGCACCATTGGAACCAAATTTTGATGAATCTCTTAACGCTGTTATTGATCCTAGGAAAGGGAAGATGAATAAGGCTGAAACGTCTGGCCCTGCTAACTACAACATGGTCCCAAGCAGTGGTCAAATGGAGCATTTTCCATCCTCACCTGGAAATATGAGATCAATGCATAGAAGTAGACAAGATGGCCAGAATGTAACAGAGAACCTTGTGGATTCGACAAATATTAGCAATTTGATGTCACGTGCTCCTAGTTCAAAGTATCCTGAACATGTGGAAGTTTCATCTACTCAAAATGTACCTAGACAACAGCAAGGGGGACTACCTGGTGCACACGAAATTCTTTCCTCTAGGGGCAAGGCCGGGTTACTCTTTGACAGATCTCAACTTAACAGGTTTTCTCCAAATGTTTCTGGCAACATGACAACAAAAATTACATCTCAGCAGCTGATGCATGCGTCTCTTGTACCAGGTGAGGATGGACTCCAGATTTTGAAAAGATAGATTTGTGTTTGTTAGATACTCTTTGATAGACATGGGTTCAGTAGTTGAAAAAATAGATTTCTGTATTATATACACTTTAATGGACTACAGATTTTGATAGACATGGGATTGATACTCTTCTTTGAGTCGGAGTGGGGTTTGTTGGGTCGTCTTATTATGGAAAGTGATTGCTCGGTAGCTTTAGAGTGGATTAAAAACTCCTCTTCTTGTCCTTCATGTTACGATTCTATTGTTAGGGAGATTAGTTCTTTGGTTGTATCGAATAATGTTATATGTCATTTGATTTTAAGAAGTGCTAATTGGGAAGCCGACGAATTGGCTAAAAAAGGAATTGGGTGAGGGAAGGATAGGGATAGTAGAGAGGGATTTTATCATTGTACTGGGGTTTTTGCATTTTTCAGGTTGTAATGTTGGGTTTTCAAACCCTTATTTTAATAAAATTTGAGACACTCTTTTCCTCCTTCCGCTGATTGCTTGTTCTCCATTAGGGGGAACGGACAGTTATGAAGGGGGTTTTTAACGAGGCCTCCCATTCTTATTAAAAAAAAACGATTTTCCCCCTCCCAGTTTTATCTAGGTAAAAAAGATGAACTGTAGCTTTAAATTGTCTGAGAAGATAGTATGCTTCTGATGAGATTGGTATGATACTCTGTTTCTGTATGATTGTCTGAGTTAGATATTCTGTAGCCTTAGATTGTGTGTGTGGACCTTTTTATTGAAGTTTAAATATATTTGTGACACATATTAGGTTTTATGTGAACCATGTTATCTGCAATCTTTTTTTTTTTTGATAAGAATGACAGGCCTCCTTAAAAACCTCCTTCTTGATTAAAGAAAGAGGAAAAGAGTGCCTTAGAAACTTTATTACTCCTCCGAAATTACATAAGATTTAACATAAACACCATACTGAAAAAACGAAACAGACTAAGCTAGTCAACAGACAACCAAAAACCTAAAACTCAAACGATACAACGCACTGGAAACTTATCTGCAATCTTGGTTCATGTTTCTACTTTTTTGGCCTGGTCCGCTCAAATTTGTAAAACGCTCCCCTGCCCTCTTCTTTGTTTGATGGTATTTGTGAATGACCCATTTTCATGACGGCAACCAGCAATAGAGTGATAGCGAACAAGATTGAATGATCTTGGACACTTAACATGTACGCTGAATTTCCAAACATCTTAGTCGGTGAATAATTATGTCATTGTTGATATTGTTTAACTTTCAGGTTCTTTTGGGAAGGTTCAAGGATTGCCTGCCCCTTCTAACTCATATACTGTAGGAGAAGTAGCATATTCAGGTTCAGGCCAATTTAGCGGCTCCGAGAGTCAAAAGCATGGATTATCCAAAAGCTCTGTGGCAAGTCCTGATGGGTCGTCATCAACACTTTCTGCTGGAAAAGTTTTTGAACATGATGGAGGAAGTTCAAATATGTTAGCAGATGTAAATAAGCTAACTCAGGTGCTCGTTATGGTCCCCCCCCCCCTTTTTTTTTCCTTTTCATGCACATTTTTGTTAAGTCACTGTGGCTTCAGTAATGGTAGTAACAGTCCGGGCTCTATTATGGCCTTTTTGAGAGGAAGGAACTGCTTCTATAATGTTCTTATGAATTTCACTGATTGTATAATGAGTTTGTTGGTTATTATTATTTATTATTTTTGCTGGGTAGGTTGGCAGGCAAAATAGTGCCTCAGAAATGAATATGCTTAGGGCCATGGCTCCAAGAGATATGGGAAAGTCTCCTGCCTCTCAATCTGCGACATCTGGTATGCCCTTCAAGGAACAACAGCTGAAACAGCTGAGAGCCCAGTGCCTTGTTTTTCTAGCTTTCAGGTATTGCAATAGTGTAGGTGATAAGAATCTTTATTGTGGTCTGTTGTTTTTATTTTTTCTGTATAACTTGTGGTTGTCCACTTGCAGAAATGGCTTGATGCCAAAGAAGCTGCATCTTGAAATTGCGCTTGGAAACATATTTTCAAGAGAAGGTAGATTTTTATTATTTATTTGTTTTGCAAATTTCATTTTCAAAAGTTTATATCCTTTCACTTGGTAATATTAGTTGGCAATACATATGGTCCTCGCAAAGATTTGAATGACCACAGAGGCAGAGCACAGACTTCCAATGAGCCAAGTAGCATATCTGAAGTTGCAATGTCGTTTGGAAGGATGAATAATTCACCTCCTGCGTTAGCATCTATAGGAAGATTTCCAGACGCTGATTCCTTGTCAAAAGAAGCAGAAAATTTAAAAGTGGGGACTAATGGCCCAACTTCCGATTTTTCAGCAATTGTGGAGGAAAGGAAACATATTCTAGCTGCAAGGAAGGCAGAGGCTGATATTCAGAGCCAAGAGACAGTGGAACCACAAGCATACCTACCTACAATGTCAAGACAGCCCGACTCTTCCACTACAAAGGATGGTTTTACTGTTCATACAGATGGCATGGAGAATGGCCATTTGCAAGTTGCAAAGGCTGATCTAGCCTCTTCTATAATGGGTACTAGTAAACAAGCGAACCCTGAAATGATAGGCTGGTCTGGAATTGGCTTTCATAATGAGGCTTATAGGGCATCATTGCCAGCTGCCGCCGTACAACATGATTTGGTGCTAGAAAGAAACGAAACTGCTCCGCAATTTCAAAGTCCTGGTAATTTTTCTGAAGCAATATTGCTTTTGATAATGACCACTTGTCTTCTTATCTATTAGTATAATGGTAATCTCTAATCCTTTTATTTTTAATAATGTCAACCTCTGTGATCTGGTGAGTATGGTACTGAGAATCTGAAAAATCTCTGAATTTTAAACAAGATTAATCTGAGTTGGGTCTAAACTCCTAGTAACGGTATTCTAAGAAGTGCTGTCTGTTTTACCACAGAGCAAGAGGAGCTGGATAAATCCATATCAACTGATCCATTTCCATCTCCAAAGCATACTATGTCTGAGAAATGGATTATGGATCAGCAGAAACGAAGGTTCTTGGCTGAGCAGAAGTGGGTTGTGAAACAGCAAAAAACAAGGCAAAGAATTGTTACTTGTTTCACGGAATTAAAGGTCTGTCGCAAGTTTCTTCTAAGTTATTAGTACATGGTAATAACCTTGGTTTTCTTTCTTATTTGTCTGTAAAGCCATCCCACGAGATTTCTAAGGATATGATCATTATTTGCTTTAATATTTGTGCACTGCTATAGATAGGAAAAGAGAAAATTATCTCCTCTTATCTGCATATTCTGTATGAATAGAAAAGTAGAAATGTTGTAAAATCGGCCAAAAATATCTCACTAAGATGAGTGAGACATGGAATAGAAAGTTAATCCTTAAGAAGGAAGATGGCCACATATTTTCTCTTCTGCTTATAAAACAATTTCTATTTTTATTTTGTATGGACTTCATTTCTATTAAAAGTCTATTTTTTGTGATAAAACATGGAACGGCTTTATATTTTTCTTTAGAGCTTATGGTACTGCATCATAGACATAGTCTATGATCTAGATAGTAAAAAGGAATTCATCCCTAACACTTGGGTAAAATAATCATATTGGCTAGAAATGGGTGATTTAAGTTTACACGAATTTGGGTGAAATTGATTTTGTTGCATGATGGGTGAATTTTTTTAACTAAAGCTTAGAAACTTGGGTGAAATTGGTCTTTTGTTGCATGGGAATAATTGATTAAAGAACCAAAATTATGTTATAAGAACTTCAAGTGTAAGTAAATCAAACAAATGAGGACTTCAGACATCTTTTGAGATGTTTTTTTGACGTTGCATAGTTGCTTGTTTGTTATTCCCCCCCTCTCTTTGTTTTTTTTGCCTCTCCCAACATTGTTTTGTTGGGAAGTCATTGTTTATGTATCTCATGATACCTTATGGTGTTGTCAAATGCGTGTAGAAACTTATGAAAGATCTAGCATTGTGTGGACAAATTGTTTTGCAACTAATGCATTCACATGTAGGGAAATGTGAGCTCTTCTGAAGATATCTCTGCAAAAACCAAAAGTGTTATAGAATTGAAGAAACTTCAATTATTAGATCTTCAACGTCGCCTACGGAGGTTAGTCACTTATAAATTTTCCTTTAAGTTATTATTACATTTCTTATGTTATTGTGCCAAGATTGTAGATGAATTGGTTTTACAGTTTCCTCGATTTTACTATGGTTTTTCATTGGATATTTGCTTCTTAAACTTGGCAGTGATTTTCTGAATGACTTTTTTAAACCAATTGCCAATGATATGGAACGCCTGAAGTCATACAAGAAACACAGACATGGTAGAAGGATAAAACAACTTGAAAGATATGAGCAGAAAATGAAAGAAGAGCGACAAAGGAGAATACGTGAGAGGCAGAAGGAGTTTTTCAGTGAGATAGAAGTTCACAAGTATTTTCCCTTTTGCTCTTTGTTACAATTAAATGCCTCTCTTATCTGGTTGCTTTAAGTAAAACTGCATCCTTTCTAACTTGGTATATTGAAACCACAGGGAGAGGCTGGATGATGTGTTCAAAGTTAGGAGAGAGCGATGGAAAGGTTTCAATAAATATGTGAAGGAATTCCATAAGAGAAAGGAACGTATTCATCGTGAGAAGATAGACAGAATCCAGCGCGAGAAGATTAACTTACTCAAAATCAATGATGTAGAGGGTTATTTGCGAATGGTTCAGGTTAGTTTAAGCTTACTAGCTTTTGGTAGTCCAAAGTGTTTTTTTCTTATGTATTCTTACTGAGTATCATTTGTGATGTTTTACAGGATGCTAAATCGGATCGTGTTAAGCAATTACTAAAAGAAACTGAGAAATATCTTCAGAAACTTGGATCCAAGTTACAGGATGCAAAGGCTATTGCAAGCTGCTTCGAGAATAATATGGATGAGGTGCGAACTGCCAGTGTTGTTGAGAATGACACTGCTATTGAGAATGAAGATGAGGCAAAGGCAAGTTTTTTCTTGGGCATCTGTTGTGTTTCTTCCTCCCTTTCCACAAGTTTTTGCTCACCTCTTTTGATATGTTGAATTTCTCTTATGGTTAATCTGGTCTTCAGCATTACATGGAAAGCAATGAAAAGTACTACCTTATGGCTCATAGGTAACACATTTGCTTTGTTCTTTTTTCTTGCTTCATTTTCCTAATGAATGCAACTTTAGGTGTCTCTTGAGGTCATTTTATTTGACAAAGTCTTCTATTAATTAGTATCAAATTATTTATAACTGCTGGAGGGCTCACAATTAATTTTTTTTTGCAGCATTAAAGAAAACATCAGTGAGCAACCAACATTTCTCAAGGGTGGAAGATTAAGAGAGTAAGTAAAATATGCACCTGACTATCAATATATATATTTTGGAATGGCTGGCATGGGGAGTGCTGTCCATATTATCTTGGTTGAAATTTCCTAAAAATATACCTTTGATGTTCAGGTATCAGATGAATGGCCTAAGGTGGCTGGTTTCACTCTACAACAATCATCTGAATGGCATTCTTGCTGATGAAATGGGCCTTGGCAAAACTGTTCAGGTATCAGTGGTTTTGAGTCTTCTCTTTATTGTAGTGTATTGTATAATTTTTGTTCATTTGAAATTGTCTCTTTGTAGGTTATTTCTCTTATTTGTTATCTAATGGAAACCAAAAATGATAGAGGACCATTTTTAGTGGTTGTGCCATCTTCAGTTCTGCCTGGATGGGAGTCGGAAATCAATTTTTGGGCTCCAGAGATAAACAAAATTGTTTATGCTGGACTTCCAGAAGAGAGGCGCAGATTATTCAAGTAATGGCATGCCAACATGAATGGGAACCTTCTTATCCAATAAATTTTGTTTAAATTGTATAAGCCTCATTATCCATTTCTGGTGCAGAGAGAGGATTGTACATCGGAAATTTAACATTCTCTTGACAACGTACGAGTATCTAATGAACAAGCATGATAGACCAAAGTTGAGCAAAATTCATTGGCACTATATTATAATTGATGAAGGTCATCGGATAAAGAATGCTTCTTGCAAGTTGAATGCAGACTTAAAGCACTATCAGAGCTCTCATAGATTGCTACTGACTGGAACACCACTACAGGTTACAGATAATATTCTCTGAAAGTTTTTTAATATATATTTTTCCATTTTCCATTTGTATTTGAAACTTGCATTTACATCCTTGTAGGTAACCCAGCTCTATTTCTTGCTGCCTTTTTGTTTGTTTTTTGTGCTGGTATGAAGTAATGACTAAATTTTAACTGATCTTTTTTGTGTAGAACAATCTTGAGGAGTTGTGGGCATTGCTCAATTTCTTATTGCCTAATATATTTAATTCATCAGAGGATTTTTCTCAGTGGTTCAACAAGCCATTTGACAGTAATAGGGATAATTCTGCTGAGGAAGTAAGTAGTGAATTTCTGCAATTTAGCTATGAGTATTATTTAGTACACTATCATCAAATTTATGTGCTAATGCTGGTTATTTCTGACTAGGCACTATTGTCTGAGGAGGAAAATTTGTTGATCATTAACCGTCTCCACCAAGTTCTTCGACCTTTTGTACTTAGAAGGCTGAAGCATAAGGTTTGTATTTTCATGGATGTTATGTTTGAGGTCGTCCTTTTTATTGATATTTAATTGGCACTGTTTTTTGAATTCGTTATTTTGAATTATATTAAGATGCTCTGAAATTGTGGTATGCTTATTGTTTTGCATCATTTAAATTTTTCGGTAGGTTGAAAATGAACTTCCTGAGAAGATTGAGAGGCTTGTAAGATGCGAAGCTTCATCTTACCAAAAGCTTTTGATGAAGAGGGTTGAAGAAAATCTTGGTGCAATTGGAAATTCAAAGGTTTTTTTAGGACGTTTGATTCTCATTTATTCCTTTGCAGAGTTAAATTTTAATTACAACTATTTTAGACATTTACTATTGTCAATTCCAATCTTTTGCAGGCTCGATCGGTGCATAACTCTGTTATGGAGCTTCGTAACATATGCAATCATCCATATCTCAGCCAGCTTCATGTGGAGGAGGCATGCCCTTTCGCTATTTACTAATGCTTAGTTTGCTTTTGATATTGAATTCTGGAAGATAAAAGATGAGAAAGTATTGGATGGTCTCTATTATGAAGCTTCATGTAGATCTTTTATCTCCTTTATGTAATTCTGGACCAATTCAGAGCTTATTTCTTTAACCTTGTCTTCGACAACTTTATAAGTTTGAAAACTGAATGGTTGAAGATAATATAATTCACTTTGTTACACTCTTGTAATAAACTAGAGATATCAGTAGTTGCATCATGGATGGTATAAAAATTCTCTATTGGTAGAAATCTAACTTCCAGAAATTTTTTAGGTTGAAAATTTAATACCACAGCATTATTTACCAGCAATCATTAGGCTTTGTGGCAAGCTTGAGATGTTAGATCGAATACTCCCCAAGTTGAAGGCAACTGATCATCGGGTAAGCAAATCTTCTTATGCTGTTATGCCAAGATCTATAATATATGGAAGCTATCTATTGTTGCATTGCATTTTGTAATATAGTAGTCTGTTGCATGAAAATTCCTGTTGCTGAATTGGCCTTTTTTCCTTCAAATTATATGTTGATTAATGTTGTTTTATATGCTGGCAATCTTGTGATGTTTTTTGTTGTGCTTTCGTTTTCTGCATGTTTTGTTCTTAGTTCAAGATCATGGTGCCATTGATGGTATTTGGCATTTCTATTTTAAGCCCTCTTTGTTCTTTTCAATCTTGGTGAAATGCATAAGCAGCAGCTTTAGCATGATTGTCTTTGATTTTCCATGAAAGAAACTCCTCCTTTAGTGTATGTTTGTAAATAGATTAGTTTTACTAACATAATAATTCATTGGGATTCACTCCATTATTTTGAAATTTGTAGGTTCTTTTCTTTTCCACAATGACTAGGCTACTAGATGTTATGGAAGATTATCTCACCTTTAAACGGTACCGCTACCTAAGGTTGGATGGGCATACATCTGGCACTGATCGTGGTGCACTTATTGAAAAGTTTAATCAACAGGGTTCTGACTTTTTCATATTTTTGCTGAGGTAATTCCTTCTCTAAAGAGCTGGCTTACAAAAAATTTTTGTAAATTGGAAAAAGGAAAGAAAAAAGAGAGCTCATATATGCTTGTAGTGTTTCTGAGCTGTATTGACATTTTGAATAATATATTTGGAGATTGGGATGAGGGATTAGTTTGTAGAGGAGAGTAAGGAGGGATCATTCTAGTTGAGAAGTTTATGAAAACTCTGGAATGCTCTATAATATATATTGTTCTAGTTACGATCTTGTAGTTCTGACATTTGATTGTTTTGTCAGTATTCGGGCTGGCGGTGTTGGTGTAAATCTTCAAGCTGCTGATACTGTGATAATATTCGACACTGACTGGAATCCTCAGGTTGTATTGGAAGTTACATTTACTTGATTAGATTTTTTTTTCTGATATTGGTTTTAATTATTTTTTAATTTTGGTTGGTTCAGGTTGACCTGCAAGCTCAAGCAAGAGCTCATAGGATTGGCCAGAAGAAGGATGTACTTGTTTTACGATTTGAAACAGTATGTTCCTCTTCGCCTGGGGTCAAGTACCTTTTTGTTTTCTATAATTATTATATGAGTTTTTCATGCTGCCTAGTTTTTAGTTTATTTTATATTTTTCCTAACATAATCTGAGATCAGAGTCGCATTTGTCTTTGCCTATTTCATTGAGTTGCTGGTGATTTTTTAATCAAGTCCAACTATTTTGCTTTGATAAGGTTCAAACAGTTGAAGAACAAGTTAGAGCTGCTGCTGAACACAAATTGGGAGTTGCTAATCAGAGTATCACTGCTGGCTTCTTTGACAATAATACAAGGTAATTCATGGTTATTTGTTGAGCTATAGTGTACTGCATAGATCACAAACAGATTCATGAGTATCATTGCCTTGATTTTATTGACAGTGCTGAAGACCGTAGGGAGTACCTAGAGTCCCTCTTGCGCGAGTGTAAGAAAGAGGAAGCTGCCCCGGTGTTGGATGATGATTCTCTAAACGACCTGTTGGCCCGCAGGTATTAGTCATATTTTATTTATTTTACTTTCCCTGTCATAGGCTATATCTAGAAATTACGGAGTTTTTTCTCTATATTTTTACTTTTTTTACTGATCCAATTTTATTGCTGTGCCGTAATTCAACATGGGCATTACTTTGTATTAGTATTTATGAGCCTTTAGTTACTGACATGATTTTGTTATTGATATCATCTCTGTGATACAGTGAGAATGAGATTGATGTATTTGAATCAGTTGATAAACAGAGGCAGGAAGAAGAGACGGTATGCATCCAAGTCTCTTAGACAGGCTTTTTTGTGTCATTTGCAACATAAACATGCCCATCTTGGTGATTTATCTCTTTTGTTATGCCATTTTTCTATATATACGAACATGCAGGCGAGGTGGAAAAAGTTGGTATTTGGATCAGGGATGGCTAGCTCCAAGCCTTTACCTCCTTTACCGTCTCGTCTTGTTGCAGATGATGACTTGAAAGCTTTTTACGAAGCAATGAAATTGTATGACACACCCAAGACTGTGGTACAACCTAATGTTGGGGTAAAACGGAAGGGTGGTTCACTTGGTGCTCTTGACACCCAGCGATATGGGAGGGGAAAACGAGCAAGAGAGGTTTGTTATCTTTACCTCTTTTTTACACTCTTCTTTTATAGCTTTGCTTGGTGTTGCAGCTGCCTGCCTTTGTTCTAGTACGAGTTTAAATGTGTTGATCTTAATTCTTAACTTTTTCTATATTAGGTGCGCTCATATGAAGAGCAATGGACAGAGGAGGAGTTTGAAAAAATGTGTCAAGCTGACTCACCTGAATCCACTGAATTGAAGGAAGACGGTGTTGAGAGGAAACCACCAAAAAATGCTCTCATGGGGACTGTTAATAGCACAGAACCTCATGCCCCACCCCCACCCCCAGCCACAGCCCCTGCTCCAGCTCTGCTTCCTCCACTACCACAACCAGTTCGGGTGGAGCTTGCACATCAGCCTCAACAGCAGCAAAACAAAGATGCAACACCACCATCTAAACGGGGCCGTGGAAGGCCAAGAAGAGCACCTGCAGAGAAATCTCCTACGACACCAGTTTTTCCAGCATCTTATGGAACCAGTAAATTGGATATCGGATTACAGAAACCAACGGATACTAGCTCATCAGCATTTCCTGCTCCTGATCCTCACAATAGTACAGGAGTTTCTCAGAACTTGCCACCAAGTGTGCCCTCTTTTTCTTCTATTCCTGATGAATCTACCCCACCTGGATTCGCTCCAGTAGAATCAAAAGGACAAGGTCGAAGGGCTCAAAATGGAGGACAGGCGCCTCGTCGAAGGGGAAAGAAACAAGAGCCAGCGTTTAACCCTGCTGTTGAGGGGTTAGCTGGTTCTGCTCCAGAAACAAATGAGCAATCTCAGATTATATCAGTTAATGCACCAGATAGTCAAGCTGTTGCTATAAGTGGAACTGTTCCTGGTGTTTCAAGTGCTCCCATGGCTGTGGGGACCAATCCTGTACCTATTTCTGCTGGTCCGCATTGTACTGCTGGAACTGATCATCCATCTGATTCAGGGTTTAGTTTGAATTCTCAGACACTTAATACTTCCTCAGCCACTGCAATTGCTCAATCAACTCTTCCCTGTTCTACTGTAACTGTCCAAGTTAAAGGCCAAGGTCGCAAGGCTCAGAATGGGGTAGGAACACCACGGCGCAGGGGAAAGAAACAGGCACAAATATCAGCTGCTGCTCTGGATGTTTCAGTTGGTCAGGATTCAAATTTGAATCTGCAAGCAGATGCTAAATCTGCAGAGGCATCACCAAGTAAATTCATTGGGACAGGAGGCAATCAAGAAAATGATGCTTGTGATCCAGGAAAAGTTATTCAAGAGCAAGGGCAGGGGACTAATGCACCTGCTATCGTAACTGGTCAGGAAAAACATGCTACTATACATGATAATTTACCTCAAAGCAAGCAGCCAGAAAGCTCACAGGATGTGCACAATAGTACTGCAATAATCCTTGGTATGACCTTTGCTTCTTTTAGCATGAATGAAATCAGTTTGTCCTTTAATAATTAGTTTATTGGATTTTATATGGTAAACTTGATATGAGCGACTTATGCAGGCCCTGCTATGGAAAAAATTCATCAAGCTGATGTGAATGAGAAGGCTTCTGTGATTTCAGTGGTTTCATCTGAATGCAGTTCTCAGAAAGCTAAGTCTAGCGAGGTATGTGGTAACCAAGGTGGTGCTGTGGCTGTTGTTTCTGGGACCTCAGTTGAAGTGGTAAAGAATCAAATTTCCAAAGCTAAAGTGAGGAAAACTGCACCTTCTGTTTCTATTACAACAACCAGTTCTTTGCCTGCATCGATTCCTATAGCAGGTGCCAATAAAACCATCCCTAATCCTGGTGAAAGGATTTCTCCCAGCTCTGAACCTTGTCCAACTTCTGTTTCTGCTGCTTCTGAACCTCAAACTGTCCTTACTTTTCCTGTTGAATCTGTTCAAAGTAGAAGGCCTGATCTTAAGACCACAAACAGGGAAGAAGCACCTAGGCGTAGAGGAAGGAAACCTGTAACTCCTGATGATTCATCTGGCCAGGACCTGAAATTAAATTCTCAGCCCCAGAGTACATCAAAGGATTTAATGGTCAATAGAGCTACTGCAGGGAAGAGCAATCTAGATTCTGGCCCTCTTGAGCTGGTCAATGTCACCTGGGTACATGCGTCTGAAGTTCATTCTCCAAGTGCTTCATTTGGTCATGATTCAAAGAGAAAAGCGACTGTTGCAGTCCCAGCATTTAGTCGAATTGCAACTTCTGATGTGAATGATGTTGCCCGAGTGATGAAGGAGATTTTCTCTGAAACCTGCACATCAAAGAATAAAGTTGGTGAACCTGTTGGGAGTGAGGGAAAAAGTACCACTGCACCATTATCAAGCAAGACATTCGAGGAGCCACTTAAGAACCAAAGTTTAGATGATATTTCTTCTGTCAACAAACCAGATCTTGTAAAAACTGCTCCAGCTAGTGATGTTCGAAAAGGAAAAGGTAAACAGCAGACCGAAAATGAAGCTCATACAAAAGAACTGGAAGACAATGCATCACTTGCGATTAATGTCCCTGTTCTTGAGAGAGTTGATTCATTGAAGCCTGAATGCAAGACCCGTAGTGGCTCAGACAACAATGCAAATCCAACACTGGTTCCAAAGGAAAATTCAATTACAGATGCGGTGATTGATGGTACACCTCCTCTCCATGCTGGTGGCATGAACGATGTGGCTCGAGGAACTCCTACTGGTGGTGATCAAACTGTTTCTATGTTTCATCTGAGCTCACCCAGTCCAATGGACCTGCTTCAAGCTGCCAAGAGTGATAAAAACAACAGAAAGCCTTGTTTTAAAGAATCTCCCAAAGCTGACCGTGATGACTCCATAATGGATCCTTCTCTTTCAGGTGTTGTGGTACCTGCTATTAATGTTTCTGAAGCCAAAGAAGAAAGTCCTGGTATGACTGAATCTATTTTTGTTGAAGGTCCAGAAACTTTAGAAAACTCAAACAATCACAGAGCTAGTTCTGCAGTTGAAGATATAGCTCCAACCCGTGAGGCTGCTACATCAGATGATTCTCCTGTTGACAACCAAGATGTGGAGGGTCAATCTTGTGGAAATGAAGCTAAGGGGGATACTATACTTGAACTGATTCTTTCTATTACGACTGAATGTACTGATACAGAGCTTGTTCCACGAGATGTTGGAGCCTTGAATCAATCCCTGGTGGTTAGAGATAAGGAGGGCGATGGTGTTGAGATTCACAAAATGGAAGTAGATCCTTGTGAGACAGAATTTTCTTCTTTGAAAGACTTTACTGCTGAATCAGTCGGCAGGGATCCTGCTCCAGAGGTTGATGGTGGGAAGCAACTGCCTGTCAGAGTTGAAACTATGAAGAGTGATAGTGTTGAAGTTTGTGATCCAGAAGTTAGATCCTCAGAAACTCAATTATCTGAGCCGAATATTCCACCTTTGGAAATAGCAGTTCCTGTTTCTGATATTTTAGGGGACAAGAATGTCGAACAGTTCAGGACAGATGCTGATGTAAAAGAGTCTGGGGAGAAATCTCATATCGTGGTTATGACCTCTACAATAGAAAGTGTTTGTCCAGTAACTCTGTGCCAGTATGCTACTGAGCCTGAGAACATTTCAGACTCGAAACAGCTTTCATCTGACATCTCAAAATCTGAGAGTGCCATGGAGATTAATTGTAAAGATCCTCACAGTGCTAATGAGAAAGAAGATTTTGATACCAATGGAGCAGAGAGTCCTAACGGGGAGAACAATGATCTTTCTGTTGTGTCTAGCAATCAAATAGCATTATTTGTGGCATCTCCTAGTAAGGTGGATCATCAGTTGAATCAAAATGAAAACACAACAGAGATCTCTTTAGAAAACTCTCCAGATTTGACTTATTGTGAGAGTAAAGATTGTGAATCTACCATTGACTCTACAAAAGCCAGTGATGCTTGTAATATTTCTATTTTGGTCCCACCTACTTCTGTTATGATGGAGCCTAAAGTGGTCGGCTCTGAAGGCAAAGAAAAAACTTCCTTGGATTCTTCAAATTCTGCAGCGCTTGATATTTGTTCTTCAGGGGATGGTGTTGCTTGTGATTATTCTGGTGTGACTGCAGTAGTTCCCTTGAGTTCAGACCATTCAGTTCCTGGATGTCTTCCTGATCCTATCACAATTCCATCTGAAGATAAAGCAGAACCTTCTTCTAGAGAGTTGTTGGAATCACATCCAGAAGTCTCTGTTCCTGATGTTGCAAACCTTCAAAGTGCTCCAATGTCCACAAAACCGGATGTTCATGATGCTCCTCTTGTGACTTCAAATATTTCACCAAGCATGGTGGACCTTCCTGCTATTACTGAGAATGAACTGGGAAAGGAAACAGAACCATCTAATGGGAGTGAAACAATGAGGAACTCAGAATCAGAACCCGTCTACTTCGCTTCTGATTCTTCTAATGTAGAACTTATGCCTAAAGATGATGAGTTGCAACAGCCATCAGCTGTAATAGTAGATGATTATGTTGGTGTCAGCAATGAGGAAGTAGACCCCACTGCACAACCAGTATCTTCTCTGAAGGATTTTGCACCTGGGAACCATGGTGAGGTGAAGCCCTCAGAAACACATGCAACTCCATTGGAGGTTACTTCCAAGGACTCCCCCAAGGAAGAACATGATCTAAATGGTCAGTCTCATGAGCTCCCACTACCTGAAAAGACACATGCTGACCGCGTTGAGGCTTCTACTATTGAACCAAACTCCTCCATTGCTCAGACATCTTCACCACAATCTAGAAAATCTGATAATAAAGAGCCTGTTCAGAGGTCTGGGGCTGATCATGTTGAAGCCTGCAGTGAGAAATTAGACACTACAGAAGGGCCATCCTTGGCACAAACCATCTCTGATGAATCTACCCATCCTGATCATAAACCAGAGCTTACACAGGCATCTGAAGTTGATGTTGTTGAGGCCTGCTCCAAAGGACCATCCTTGTTACAAGTCATTTCTAAAGAATCCACCATTCCAGAGCTTGAACAAAATGAAGTCAGAACTGAGTTCCAATCTGAAGATCATGCTGAGGCTTCTCTGCAATCTAAGGTCGAAACTGCTGACATCTCTGATATGGAAATAGACCCTAAAGATGAGAAAAAAGGCCCTTCACCCGAATTGGAAGATGATGCTAAAGCTTCTGAGCAGCCTATGATTGTCACTGATATGGGAAAAGATCCCGGAGAAACAAAGATTCCATCACCAAGCACGGATGAAACTAATGCATAGATTAACAAAAGATGAAGGGTTGGCTTTATGGTTTCTTTTCATAACCTTAGGGTTCGCCAAAATTTAAATAATTATTTTAGAATTTGTAGATGTTTCATCTTGGTCTTTTTATCCTTGGGTGTTATTACGTCTACTTTTGAGCATTAGAAAACAGCAGTTTACTCAACTGTCTTCTCCACTGGTTGAATGAATTTAATAGAAAAAAAAAGTGTTATGAAGTAACTATTAGCTGGTCTAATTCCTTGTTTATCAGTGCATTTTTTAGGTCAGCATTGCTAGGGGCAGGAGAGGATGCCTGTAGTCGAGGATTTGGGTTGATCATGATAACTAAGCATGCTGCCTCTAAAAACCTGACTTGAAAACTGAATCTAAACGAATCTGATTTGGGGCATGTGCATGCGTCACGTGGCCAGAGTTGATCCCGTGTCACAGGCGTGGCATGCTCTATATGAGGTAACCCAGAAACCTGATGAAGTCAATGATACTATGACAGGTAATTCTTGGTATAGCAGATTTATGGTGTCAGTTCTTCCTAGTGAAGCATTGCACGGCGACGTTGTGGCTTAGGCGGCGGATAATTGTTATGTGGCATGTTCCATAGGAGGCAACCCCCGAGTATGTTTGCGTGCTAAAGTTATTCCTTCTGTGACAAGTAATACTTGGTTGCCAGCTTTTAGTAAAAATGAGAGTTCGTAGAAAATGCTCACAAGCATGCACCACAACACATGCTAAACAGGAACAAATTTTATGCATTTCATGTCATTTCTCTCTAAGTTACGTGTAACATGTCATGCTCCGAGAAAATTCAAGTAAATTTTTAGAACTAATGAATACAAACCCTCTGTGCTAGGATTTCCTCTGCATTTTCGCATGTTCCTTGTAATATCTTAAATTTTGGTTAGTGACCAAAAATGTAATTTACATCCAGTATTTTAGAGAAATTAAAGGTTGAGGAAGCTAATTGAAAGGAGTACAAGGCATGGAAAAACAATGTTCTCGTTTATTTACATCAAGTACATATTGAAAATTAGAGGTGAATTTTTCTTAATAGGGAAGAATTGTAATACTGCAAATTTTGGCTAGTGACCAAAATATAAATATAATTATATTTTAAGTATGTCTCAGTTTCTCTAGTTTTGCTAGAATTGATATGCTTTTTTAATCGGGTTTCACGGGGCGACTACTATGGGGATATCGTAAGTGATTTAGAAAATCTTCAATTAGGGGAATCTAGGGGAAGAGATCTTAATTATCAAACTAAAAATTCGGTTCCAATTTCATTGGAGAATTGTTTTGTGGGTAAATTTCTCGCAGAGGTTCGATTAACTTACAGGTTATAAAGGTTATTCTTGCGAACGTCTGGCATCCGATAGGGGGCATATCCATCTCTGAACTGGGGAAGGGTAGATATTTTTTTCAATTATACCACGAGGTCAACGCGAACAGATTAAAATAAGGACCATGGTATTTCAACTCTTACCTAATGATTTTGCACCGATTGACTGACGGTAAGGACTCGATGATGGTGGCCCTTGACAGGGTGGATTTTTGTTTTCTTATCAATGATCTCTCAGTGGGTTACATTTAAGAACATGTAGCAAAGCAATTTGGGAGTTTTATTGCCACGTTTGTTGAATATAATGCAAAGGCGATCAATTTTATCGAGTTTCTGGTTAAGGGAAGAACAAGAAGGACGAAGCGGTGGGTGGAGAATACGTTCTAGTCTTTCATGGGTCCTTCAGGCCAGGGAGGCTGTATGGTATTGTAATATCGATGGCAGAAGAAGACAATACGCTGGAGAAGCAGGAGAGTGTGCAGAGACAAATGAGTGATCCAGTGACTCCAAACTTGTCTATTGAAAACATAATCGGAGACCTTAAGATATCGACATGCCTGTCACCTTAGGCTGGTCGGAAGCCATGAAATTACTTAGTTGGAACGTCCGAGGTTTGGGGAAGCCTCAGACGACTCGTCGTCTCTAGCATATTCTGAGAGACGTTAACCCAACTGTGGCTTTTTCCATGGAAACAAAGTTGTAGAAACACTGATCTCATCGTTGAGTGAAGGACCCACTTGCTTACATTATCCACAAAAACGGAGAAACCTCTACGCCGGCGCTCCTCTACCCTGCTAACACTCCCGAACGCCCTACTCCTGCCTGACTTTTCGCCTCCCATCGTTATATTTGGTCAAAGAATTTAGAGCTTATATTTGGTCAAAGAAAGAACCACCCTCAAACAAAGGAAGCCAACCAAATTATTTACTGGTGTAGATTTGTTGGCATTGTACAAGAAAAAGATAATATGAGATTTAGAAAGTTGGGGCAAAGAGAACTATGAAGTTGTCAGATGCTGATCAACAAGTACAACATTATAGAGCCTAATTCTCAGTTTTTATGGATCCAAGTGTTGTATTTGTGTTCAGAAACACTGGAAAGGTGCACGTAAAGGGCAATATTTTAATCCGTTGATTTGTGCAAGGATGCTAGTAAAAGTTGTCATTGGAAGAAGGCTTGCCTTGGGATGAGTGGAAATACTCCTTTTATACTTGCCTTTTAATTTTGCTATATGAACTGAATATGTCTACTTGCCTTGACAGTCATTGCATGTGTTAATTATTAGTTTTTCATGCATTATGTTCTCACCTGAAACGGGATCCAGGGATCAGAGAGGGAGAGATTATCACCGCTCCCCCAGGCGATCTAGATCAATTTCACAGGATCGTGCTGTGAGAGATGACTACCGGTCTCCCAGTCAGCCCAGATCCATGTCAAGGGATCGTGGGGCGAAAGATCATCATCGTTCTCCCAGGCGATCTAGATCTGTTTCACGGTCTCTTTCTCCGCGTTCTCCACATGGTGAGAGGGAATACAGAACCAAGCAGAGGTCCCAGGGAGAATGATCAGAGTCCACATGAGGAGAAAGATCATGTGCGCAGCAGGTCAAAGAGTCCAAGGCGTGTCAGTCGTAGCCCTTCAAGGCCTGTTCAGGGTCCATGAGGTATGCGCCTTCCAACATTCTATTATATCCTTAATTATTATATTTTGTTTTAATTATATATATAAAGTATGTCATGTGTTTCTTATATATGGGTATTTTATATAGTTTTAAAATTATTAGATAGTAATTTTAAAAGATTTTTGTGAAGGTTGATATGTGTAATAGTCTCTTAAATTGTTGGAATGCAATTCTGTAAATCATTATTATATCCTCCTCGATTTTATAATGAATTATATTATTTTTAACGAATTTGATTCTATATGATTGCTTAGGCTTTTTTTTATGATCTATTGTCTTTACATATGACTTCGAATCTAGTATATATACTTTCAATCAATTCTAGCCGTTTGGGTAGTTGTAGGAATAAATAAAGTCGTCGTAAGAAGTTTTCTTGTAATAAATGTTTCTTAGACGCTTGGAGTATCAATACTCGAGCTTGAATATCGGTACTCTCTGCATTAATAATAAAAATGTAGTCGTTGTGGAAATAAGGGTATTGGTATAAATAGAGTATCGATACAAAAATACCTTCCTGGAATTTGTAAAACAAAATGAGTATCAATACTGTCATGAGCGATATCAATACTATTGTGGATTTTTAAGCTTTTAGCATCAACATTGGATCACTACCACATGAACATTATCAATAATATTCTTCTCGTATCAATACTATTGTGCTTAAAAATATAGTTGTATGGTATTGTGCCTCTTCATATTATAGTTTAATAAATCAGGCTTAATACATTTTTACGTCTCTAAATTATGTTTCAAATTGACTTTTGGTGCTTAAAGATTTTTCGTTAAAAAAAGATGCTACTTTTTTTTCTCTATTACACTTTTAGGTGTTTAATGTTAAAAAAATCGTTAAATGACACGTGTCATATTTAAAATTTTTAAATATTTTTTTTATTTTTAAAAAATAGAAAAAATATAAACGTGACATGTATCTCTTAACGGATTTTTTTAACGATAAACCCTTAAAAATATAACGGAAAAAATGTTAAACATTTATTTTTAACAAAAAAAAAATCTTTACAATCTAAAAATCAATTTAAAATATAATTTAGCTACCTAGTGTTTTAAGTTGATAGGACTGGAGGAATAAAACCATTACTCATTGGATTTTAAAGACCTTTATTATCAATAATTGTTCTTTCTTTTAGTATTATGTCAATTGACTCCAACGTGTCGATCTCAATTTCCACCATCATTTTATTAACTTTGTCTCTTCTTCTTCTTCTTTTCCCTATTTCTTTCTTCTTTAGGAATAAAAACAAATCCAAATTAATTGGGTCTGAAAGTTGAGTCATGGGCCAATTTTCTCTTTTTATTCTTTAGATTATTTTAACTTTTAATTCCCACAACATGTCATGCCCCGGCAACTTCTTTGTTGAGGGAATATGTGTCAGTTGCATAATAAACTGATTAAAATTTGGGTTAAAGGTGTTTTCTCCATTTATTTTAAAAATTCACCAACATGACTTTTGAATTCTCTAATTGTTTTAACATCATCCTTTGATCAAAAAAATATCCTTGCCATTATAATATTGAAATAACAGCCTATATTCCCTTATATTAATAAAGAATTATCGTTTTAATTTTAATACATTAAACTATGAATTCAATCCCGAATCTCCTTTTATAAAATAGTAGACTCCGATGCCATGGACAAGTATTTTGTTTCTCCACTGCCAATTTTCATGGTTCCTGAACTAGTCTTCTTTATTCTATTTAATGTGATCTCTTTCTCCTTTACCAAACCCACATTCATTGGGAGTGATGGGTCAATTCCATTTTTTTAATTACTGTTATTATTATTAAATGTCTTTTTGAATGACAACTCCCTTTTGCTCAATGCTCTTGTTGAAGAATGTGTCATCAATTGCTTACTCCTTCAAGTCTAAAATTACCTCTTTTCTCTCTTCCTAATCCTAATGTGGCCCTCTCCTATAAACATCTTACCAACTTGGGTATTTATATGCGTCTAAACTATTACACATAGAGATACCCAAGTTGCACATGGTGCCTAAACTATTAATTTGAGTTCATTTTAGTACCTAAATTTTTATCTTTTTTTCAAAGTCATATATGACCTTTAGTTTAAATAAAATTCTCAAAATTACCAGAGCATGACATGTGTCAATTAATGGAATTTTTTAACGATTGTTAACGCCCGAACACCTAAAATGATAACGAAGAAAACATTAGGCACCTAAAATGATAACGGAGAAAACGTTAGGCATCGAGATGAGTCAAAAAATAGTTCAGGCACCTAATCGAAAAAAATGGCATAGTTTGAGCACTCATTTTGATATTAAGCCTTAAAAAGAACCAAGATTAAATTGACAAAATATTACATGTACGGAGTTAAATTTATTGATTTGTTTTAAACAAAACCCAAATTATAGAATATATAAATTTTAATAACAGATTATTTTTATTATATTATTATTATACCGAATCACATCAATTGTAATATTTAGGTGGGAAAGTGACCCATTTGTTATGTTTTACATAATTAAGTGATCCGGAGTGCATTTTACCCATAAAAAAAACAGCCAGTGTAGAAATATGGACAGTTGTTTGGTAACACACTAAATATTTATGGTAAAGCTGTATCATTGCTATATATATAAACTATCATTCATCTGAAATGAAAGCCAAAGGAAAGGGAAATTTCTATACAGAAAATGAAATTTAAGCTGAAGAATTTCTTCAGTTTCTGGACACGATCTCAAGAGCCTCTCTCTTCTGTCCAAGCACATTGAACACTGTTGCTGCGATGTGCGATGGGGTCAGACCAGCTTCAGCCAACTGGTCGGCCGACGAGCCATGGTCGATGTATCGATCCGGAAGAACCACCGGTCTCCACTGCAAAGAAACGAATTATTAAAAGGCCATATCAGCTTCTAATTATGAACGTTCGAATTCCTGATATTTGATTTGCATACCTTTACTTTGCCATCAAGAAGACCATCGAGAGCTAGAAACTGTACCACATGAGAACCGAAGCCTCCGATCGACCCTTCTTCGACTGTAATAAGAACTTCATGCGATTTTGCCAGTCCCCGGATTAGGGAATGATCCAATGGTTTACAAAATCGTGCGTCCGCAACAGTTGGCTTTAAGCCGTGGGATTCCAATAAGGAGGCAGCCGCTAAGCAGCTTTGAACTGCAGTTCCATAGCCTAATAGTGCCACTCTGTCCCCTTCAATCAGTACCCTTCCTTTGCCGATCTGTAAGGACATTATATGCATTTCAGATTAAGTTGTCAGTATGTTTAGTCTTTGCGTATTTACAAATAGGAATATGTACATATTTGATCGAAAGTCACCTCAAGAGGAACCCCTTTGTTCCCTGGCGGCAACTGAACTCCGATCCCATTTCCTCTTGGGTAACGGAAACAGCTAGGACGGTCGTCTATGGCTGCAGCAGTGGCAACCATATGAAAAAGTTCAGCCTCATCGGAAGGAGCCATTACAACCATGTTGGGGAGGCATGCCATGAAAGTGACATCAAAAGCCCCACAATGTGTCGGACCATCTGAGCCAACAAGGCCAGCTCTATCCATTGCAAATCTTACAGGCAGCTTCTGCAGGTCAACATCATGTACAACCTGTTGCAGCAAATCGACAAAATCGTTTATGAATTCAAAATGTAGATGTTTAACATACACAGATTATTAATCTTTTACAATTCGAAAAAACGAAAGGTAGCGTTGGTAGCTTACCTGGTCATAAGCCCTTTGCATGAATGATGAATAGATTGCACAAAAAGGTTTCAAGCCTTCACAAGCCAACCCTGCAGCAAAGGTTACAGCATGTTGTTCGGCAATCCCTACATCGAAACATCTTTGCGGGAAACGGTGGAGGAAGAGGTTTAATCCAGTTCCACCTCCCATTGCAGCATGAATGGCAACGATATTTTTGTCTGCCTCAGCTTCTGCAATCAAAGCCTCCGCTAAATATGTAGTATAAGACTGGGTAACAGAACTGCCTTTGAATTGCTTTCCGGTTGCCGGATCGAACTTCACCACTCCTGACAAAAGAAAGCCAAATACAATTTATTCTCTTTTGTTCCCTAAACTAAGGTCATAATTCGAGATTGGTGAATGAAATCGTATGAAATGACAACTCTTCTAAAATTGGCTTATTGGTGTGCATGTTACCATGGTACTTGTCATTAGCTCTCTCTGCATATGGATAACCTCGGCCTTTCTCGGTGACAACGTGGATCAAGACCGGACCCGTTGTTTTAGTAGTCTTAACCTCTTTGAGAATAGAAACTAAATCATCGATGTTGTGGCCATCAACAGGTCCAATATAATAGAGTCCAAGTTCTTCGAAAAGTGTTGATCTGGAACCACTTATCATCCCACGAGCATACTCATCAACTTTTGCAGCCAGTTCGTGCATGGGCCCACCAATTTGCTTGGTAACTCCCTGCAATAAAACCAAATTCGGTTCAAGTTAATTTTAGTTTCCGGGCAAAATTAATATTAGTTTCTCCGGGTTTCTTCCTTTCTATTTACCTTTGCAACCTCTCTCAATTCTCTAAGAGGCCTGTTTGATTGCAGCCTACTGAGGGCACTGCTCAAAGCTCCCACAGGCGGTATAGGTCCGTCGAGAGTGGCAGTTGGCAGAGAAACTTGTTTATTGTCGTTAAGAATAACAATCATATCAGAATCCAGGTATCCGGCATTGTTCATTGCTTCGTAAGCTTGTCCTGCGGTCATTGCACCATCACCTATGACAGCAACTACATGTTTCCTTTCACCTTTCAGATCCCTTCCCACAGCCATTCCTGTCCACCCGAAACATTGAGAAAATTAAATCTTCAAAGGCCAAGTGGAACTCGATTTGCATAACAGTATCAAAAATAGAATCTCACCATATCGAAAACCAAACGATAGTTCCATATACAGCAAAAATTGCATTTTAGCAGTGGAACAAGGTTTAGATGAATACCCAAGCCAGCCGAGATTGTGGTTGAAC